ACTTTCTCTATCACACATCACTCATACACTGTCGGCACAGCCAACAGGGGCAAGTTGGGGTTCAGCGTACATAGGCAACTAGTCTTGCTTGTGTTTCTTGTAGATGTTAAACCTTTAATCAAAAAGGGTTGACCTGCATGTTTAATATAATGACTGTCAGTAAAGGTTAAACTCCCTCTTGTCAGTTAGAGCTAAAGTGCTTTGAGTGGTCATCAAGACTAGAAAAGCACTTTGTGAATACAGACCATTTACCATTTAAATGGTGAGGTGAAACCTCTTCACAAAATATAAGCAAGTCCAGATGCCAATGATCACTTGTATAACTCCAGAATCTTCACAGATATATCATATCAGTACTCTGCTCTGTGATGGTTCTTTCACATAAGCTGACACAAATTCTCCTTTGGAAAGTTGTCTGTTGGGTTTCCAGCTGCAACGCTGCTGAGGTTGGTCTTTTTCATCCCCGTGAGCACATTCCTTCAAATTAGGAACAAAAGATTGTCTCTTACTTCAGCAAAATGGTTTCAAATTTCTCTTGCAAAGCACCTCATTGAGCATCTACTGTTCTTTCCTCGACACGATGCTCATCAGTGATGACATAAGAAAACAAGCTATTATTCAAAATGCCTCTATCTGGTTGAAACTTGACAATAATGTTAAGAACATGTGAGACAGTTAAGAGGACAATGGCCTGTGTGGTCTAATGATATTTCTGTGCATATCATTTCTCTACAGGAGGCGTCCATCAGCATCTGGCTTCAGTTTAGCGATGACTCCGCCTCCCTCCTCTCCTCCTTCAGTGACCTTCCCTATTTCCTGCGTCTCTCCTCATTAGCTGAGACTGTGGTTGTGGTGACACCCGGTCCCAACCAACGCATCTTTGCCCAGGGCGATGGAGGTGGGCCTTTACTGCAAGCAGAACTTCTGGTTTCAACCTGCACTGACCAGCCAGTCACCTCCAACTTGATCATTGAAGGCAGCACAGATTGGACAGACACAGGGGGAGGAAGCAGGATGAGGAGGCTAGCAAGGGGATCTGGTTGGATCAGAGTAAACCTAGACCTAGGCTTCCTGCAACCACCAGGGGACAAGGGTGAGGAGTTTGAGTTTGATATATCAGACATGCTGGTTGAGTCAGACAGCAATGTCTACACTTCAAACTTCGATGAAGACAACAGTGGGAATGTGAGCAATGACTACTATGACAAATTAAGCAGGGGAGTGACGAATAGAAATTGGAACAAGGTGGGGAACGGAGGGATGGTCAGTCGCAACAATCTGGAAAGAGCTATGCTGATGCCAAGCCAGGAGGAGGGCTCTGTGTACTTCTCTCCAAGCCAGGAGAGAGAGGGAGAGAGGGAGGAAGACGATGGGCAAGGAACTCGAGAGCTGGAGGTTGGTGTTGGTGCTGTTCTCTCTCTGCTCTGTCTCTCTGCCGTCCTCTTCTTGGCAAACTGTCTGCCCTGTGCCCTGCGAGACAGAAGGAGGGCAACGGCAGAGGAGAGGGTGGAAGGGGAACTCGAAGGAGGCTCAAAGGAAAAAGAGCAAGAGGAGAGGATGAAGGAAGAGGCAGACGACATTGAGGCAGGGAAGAGGAAGAGGAAAGAGGGTGAATGCAAAATAAAGCAGCAGCAGCCGCAGGTAGAAGAGGACCAGAACAAAAGAGAGGACATTAAAGAAGTGGAGATTATTTGCTGACACATTCACAGGCTGAGCTTCAAATCAAATCTGTTCTCATTCTGATACAACAGTAACCACGAACATGACGCTGCATTTAAAACCTCTTGGAGATTGAAATGCTCAAAAAATGTTGAGCTAGGAACAAAACAACATCCACACTTTGTTCACTGCTGTTTCTGACACGAGGGTCAGGACTGAAACGAACTGAAACTCTGGGGCCCTTTTTGGAGTTTAAACTTTGCCTTTAAACTCTGCAGTGAGCGTGTATGATTAATATAAGAGGGTCGTCCCTGTCTCCCCTGTAAAGAGATTTGAAGAGCCAAGATAGTGAAAGTGACAGTAAACATGTGATATGGGATATAATGCCACACCATCACTCCTATACACTATTTACAGTGTGTGGTCGCTCATACCCTCAGTAACTGTGACTTCACCTTGTTTTCGGGCTGTTTGTCACTTGTGACACTGTGATGTTGCACTCTAATCTGTACATTTAATTTCACAGCCAAGGTTGTTGGTTTGGATTCTTTAATCAGCCCAAACAAACCTCTTTTTTTCACTTTTTCAGCTTTATTTGTCTTAAAAGTGTTTGTGCAATTGTGCATAAGTGTCATCCTTTGTGATTGGTTTATGTGACTTTATGTTTTGACTACGGATGTTTGTTCCATTTGTTATAGTGTTCAAATAACCTTTTCACCTTGCCACCTTAGTACAAATCGAAAAGGTCACAGCGTCACCATCAGGTAGCTCCTAAGTGGCTGATTTAGGAAAACAACAATGTCTTTCCAGTCCTTATTTAGAGACCTCTAATTTTCACAGTATTCCACAGCATGACAGCTGAAACTGAGCCAAGCTTCTCAAAGAATTTCATAGCATAAACAGTTTGGTGTATCAGGGTTGGCTTTAGCCTTGGCTGCACGTTCAATGAGGTCTAAAATGTACATGTGCACTGCAATAGTGCGACTGTAAATACTGTGATAAAACCATTCCAGCAGTCTACTGCATCTATTGAGCACAAAAGCTCTGTTTAATGATCCTGCCAACGCTACAGAATTTATAGTTATAGTTGCAGATATTTGTCAGTGCACCCAGGCTTTATTCAGTCCATTGGATCTTTACTCAGTCAATCAGATTTTTATTAAATCAATCAGGTCTTCGCTCAATCTACGAGGATTTAAAGCTGGCAATTCATTAAATCCCTTTATAATACTCATTCAATCATTTCGGTCTAACCATGATGCAGTTGATGATGTGTGGTTACACACATCACTGGACTTGAAAGCAGGTTGACTGAAAATAATTTGCAAGCAGATGAGATTTCCAGACAAATTTTACTTCAGTGAATTGAGAGTTTTCCTCATTATTCCATCCAGTGTATATACGATGTATTTACAGCACATTGAAAAACGACTTTTATTTTGAAACTACATATTTAAATCCAAACCTGAATTTTCTCTTTTCTCAATGTGTCATCTTGTGTGTTGTCTTGATCTGGTTTAAAATCACTGTTTAAATGAAATAAACAGTTTGAAGGCAGCTGCTCCTTCTGACTTGTAATGACAGAAGTGAGTGTAGCTGTCTAACAGTGTGTGTTGTGCACATAAGACTGCATGAGATACCATCATCAATAAAACCTGAATTAGACCCCAGACATTGTGTATATGTCAAAAAAATATTTAAAAAATGTTCCATTACCAGAAACCCCTATTAGCTATTTTCATTGTGTGAAATACAAAGTCATTACCTTTTGTATTGTACAATAAATGCTAGCTTGATAAGATTACAGTTAAATGTAAATGATATTCTTTAATCCACAATGACAAAGACATTTAGACGTTAATATTCACCTGTGTAGAACCTTTGAGTTTTGTTTGACCAGAATGAATTATGTCCTGCTGTGGCTCACACACATTCTGTCTATGAATGGATGAATGGCATCAGCTGTACGGTAAGGTTTGTAAAACATTACAATCCAATCCAATTATTGTGATTAAATATAGAAATTAATTCGTCAATTCAAATCAGGATGGATCATTCGCATCACTAGGGTAGTGTGTGTGTGTGTGTGTGTGTGTAGCTCAGTACTTCAGTACATGTTGTGAGTTGCTGTGGCACCACAGTAAATGTGTAAAAGACATAAGTTCTTCTGTGATGAACAATCCTGAATTCTCCACCAAACATCCAGTAGAGTCTGATTTCATCAGGCCTCTGAAGAACATCCGTGTTTCTACCAACAGCACTGGAACACATTAGCCCGCAGTGTCCTCTAGCGGCACAATACTGAAATGGAATATGAAGAATTGGAGATCCAGACAAACTCCGGGTGAGAAGTTTGGAATAAAGACACATTAGCGCTACACTCACACTCTTTTTTTTACACTCACAAAAAATAACCTACCTAAAAAATACGCTACGATGATATAAGAGGTAACTGCGCACCTTTGAAAAATCGTTCAGCAGAGTGGCGCAGCGGAAGCGTGCTGGGCCCATAACCCAGAGGTCGATGGATCGAAACCATCCTCTGCTAGGGACTTCTTTTTTTTTTTTTTCTCTCACTCATTGAAGCTAGTTTTAAAAGACACGTCTTCGCTCTGTGCACATTTACCACATACACATACTGTGTAGTTTTATTGAGATGAATGTATTCACGGTATTGAACTACATAACACAAGACAGATTCCAAACACTTCCAGTTAAAAGCATACCTAAAGGTCCAGTGTGTAAGATTTAGGTGAAAGGGAACTATTGGCAGAAATTGAATGTAGAATCATTTTCATGATGTTTTCACTAGTTCATTTCATCTAAATTGTATGAATTGTAGTTTTCTTTACCCCAGAAGAGGCCCTTTATATTTAACTGACAAAAGCGTGTCAGATGGGTCTGAATTATTTCTCAGCCCCTGAAATAACTTCAGTAGCAGTAGAACCCTGACTGGAAAATGTCTCTGATAATCCAGACTCTTCCCCAGTATCATGCATCTTTCAAATATCACCTCACTGTTCGATCCCCATGGGACAGTGGCTCATTGACAGTACCATAGAGACAAATAGTAAAACGTACACTTTTTTATTGTAAATTGTGATTGTATTAATAAACATTATTTATATAGAAGTGTAAGAAACATGTGTAACAATCGCTTGTTACACCTACACACAACTTTTATGTTTATTTTAATGAGATTTAATCATTGATTCAAATTATTGATATCATTCATAACGGTATGACAAAGGCAGGGCATGTCTGTACAGGACAGTTGATGTTTTACAATAGTTTTATGCAGCTTTGTATTTGAATAGTAAAAATTACAACAATGCAACAGATTCGTTTCATTCGTTCTTTATTTCTTTTCTTGTATTAATCATTCGTACTCCAGCATTTATTTGGCATTATTTACACTTTGTTTTTCTAATCACAGGTCTGAATGCTCTCTCCCGTGCAGCACCTATGATCATCTCCTCCCCACCCTCCCCTCACAGATAAGAAGACGACAGAAAGGCCCTTATCTGCAGACGTTTGGAGGAGATGCTGCCTTTAGTGGCGATGAGATGTAACGATGGGAAAAAAACCAACAACCAAAGGCAGAAAATCTGAAATGGTGAGTTACGCTGGTCATAGCTGTTTGCTACATTGCTGACATGGCTGCAGACACTGCACACCATGGATCAGAGCCTTTAACCAACATCCATTCTCCTCAACATCATTTGTAGTTCATGGTGGTTATTCATGCACCAGGATGAAGGTCTGCTAAAGAGGGACTACAACACTTTTTAACTCCACAATAACAAAATCATGATGTCATCAGATTCAGTTCATTTGATTCAGTAAATCAAAGCAATGTAATAAATATAGTCATTTAACTCAATTTCTTGTACACTGTTTGAAAACCAAACCCTTTTTTTGATAACACAAAGTCACACTGAAGTCAATGCAAGTGACTTTGTGGTTATACAAAGTCAGTGTTTGAGCCATCAGAGAGAGTAAACCGCCACTAAACAACAGGGCATTCATTTAGAGATCTTAACATCATCATTTTTCCATCATGTGACCTGCGGTTGAATCACTGCTGATAAAAGAGAGGACATGAGAGCAGGGAGTTGCAGTAAGAGAAACGCTCAGTGCAGACCAGGAGCTGGACACATGATGTGTAGAGTAACAGAAGTATTCTTTACCTCACAGAAGAGCAAGTGTGCAAGGGTTTGACTTGCTATTAAAATTCATTATATTTCACACTCAGATAAAAGTCTACCATCAAATTCCTTTTCCAAAGAAAAGAAGAGTTCAGCTTAAAACCTGCTTAACTTCTGTACACAATTAAAACAATTGTAACAAAGGAAAGGGCATTATTATTACTATAACATAAATGTACGAAATGAAAAAAGGCAAAATAATCTATAATAGTGTAAATAAAATGCTAAACATGTAACTATATTTAATATTAAAAAGCAATAAAGAAGTTACAGTACAGGGAGAAGCATCATCAATCATCAAAACAGTTTAAGGAGGATGTGATTCCCACGTACCCAAATAAAACCCTAAACTGGGAGCATGTTGGTAGTATACACAGTACACAAATCCCCCTACACATACACATGCACACGCACACAGGGCAGCATGGAGATAAGAGGAGAGTTGTCAATGTTGCTGAAATGGTTTCTGATCGATCACAAATGAAAGGCCCCAAATTAAAAATCGCTTCTCAGGCTCAAAATAAGACTTTCTATCGTGTTTTGTCCTGAAAACTACAGACCACCAGAGTACTAACAGGAGTAAATACAGGTGTGATGTGTTTCCTGTAGTCAGTCTGATACTGACAAGGATTCAACTGTTGATGCGTTTGTGAAGTGGACGACGCTGTTTCCTCCGGATTCTTTTCCTCAGTTCAGTATCCACATTTTTTTATAATGACACCGTCAGTGTGACTCAACACTGTAATGAAACATGTGACCATTAAATGTTTTCACTACCAGTTTTAATTATTTCGACTTGTTCAACATTTGACAGGCGGATACGTCAAAATACTACAATACCCATGAGTCTCGGCTGCCATTGCCATGGAGAAGAGGCCGGTGAGAGATCCAACTCTGAGTCCTGACAATTTCAGTTATTAAGAGTTAGGTGAAACTTTCTATCCAAGCCTGTGTTTGTAGTTTTCACAGAATCTTTATCTTCAGTTCTCATCTGCCAGTAGCTGCTCACCTGACTGAAATACAACTCCAGTGATTAGATCTTGTACCTTGTTGTTACGTAAACAAGCGTGTACCTTTCGACTTTTAATTAAGTACCAGATATTTTCAAACACAGATCCCTTATACTGATGATTTAACCAGGAGAATGTTGTGCCCGTAGAGGAGTGAGTCATGCACCTTTGTCAATGGGAAAAATCAGTTGAAACAACCTCCTCCCACTTCACAGCGCTGAACGTTTTGTTAACTCAAGATTTACCAGCTCAAGCAGCTGGAGTCTCCAATAAATGTCTTAGATTCGTTGTAAAGAGAGGAATGAAAAGCATGTAAATATGGTTCATATTTGTTCAAATCACAAGTTTGACATAATTTGACTGGAGCCACGGTCCTGGTCCACCAGTGGGTCTTCAGTTACATGGGCGATAATTTGATGGTGGAACGAAAATAAACCCACAGATTACAACTCAACCAAACCCAGTGTCCTGGGATTTCCCTGTATATGCTTGTAATTTGTCTGTCACCCAGGTCCTGAAACATACTTCTCCTGAGCAGCAGCGTGTTTCCTCAGACCACATCATGACCTTTGATTCAGCTCCTCCTCTCTCTCAACCTCTCCACCCTCTCCAGCCCACCACCTCTCACTCACTCTGAGGGGCTTCCTGGCTGTGAGACCAGCATCAGGCTCTTAGTTTATTTGTCTGGGATTTAATCACAGACAGTGAAGCTCATTAAACAAGAACTAAACACTGAGGGTGTGAAGCAAATCTTCACTGCTTAATTCTGGGCAAAAAAAACAACTCATCTTCATCACATCCTCACTTTTTCCTCACTGGCTTCCCACTGTTGATAAGACACGGCAGCATCTACATCCAGTGAAACCACATGAAGCATCAAAAAGGACAAAAACAAAATAAAGATATACATGTAAATACTGGTACCTGTGTATGTAGGGTTAACTTGTACCACAGTGGCTCGATAGTAAGACTCAAATATGCCCAAATGACAAAACCTTGGTCTGGTCTTGTGTTTTTCAACACAGACGTAAATTAACTCAGCTTACGTCATATAAACCCAAGTCATAAGTAAGAGGTAATGCATGGAATGATGTTACATGAGGATTATAGTGATGATAAAAAATAAAAAGGATTGTTTTGATTTGTTACAGTAGCTTGCAGGCGGAGGTGTAGTTCACAAGGATTGCCACCAGAGGGAGCAACAGCTCAATACTTCAGCCACAAGCAGGCAGGTGGTTTGATCAAAGGCAGCACGCACAGCTTTACCTCACCCTCTTTCATCTCTCTGGTTTCCATGCGTTTTTATTAAAAGCTCAAGTACCTGAACAGTACCACACAAGTTATTTGGCTCTACTATCCTATGCCACATTCATACACCATCTTGTCTCTTTCTGCTACATTACTCCTGTTCTCCTCCCTTCAGTTACCTCCCCCACTGCTCCAACTTCTCCCTCCCTTTGTCCTTTCCCTCCCAGTTTTCACTGAACTGCTCTAACTTTCCACCGTCTTTTTATGTTACTCTTTTTCTCAGTAAAGTCAACTTGTTTTTTGCCCTAAATGTTAGTTCTGCTTCATTCTTACTTTCTCACATTAGTACCTCGCTGAAGTAGCTGAAACCACGAGAGCCCTTGTTTCTCTGCATTATTGTTTCTCTGTGTTATTTCTAATCCTCCCGTGCCTCTGTATTGCTTTTCCTTCTGTGGTGCTGCTCCCACAAATTCCAACTGGTGTTGCTGTGCCTGCTTGAGAACTGTGAAGTCTGAACTGACTCACACTGACAAGCGAATCCAACAGTGACTCGATCAACATCTTGATAAGTGGTTACCTCTGCAAAACAAACCCAATGTCTTCTATAACCCGAAACGTCCCCCTGCACCCCGTTTAAGTGCTGGCAGAGACTCAGTCCACATCCTCCTCTTTTTTCCTCCAGTTATTTTCACGGTGAGGCCCACTGCCCTCCCAATTCACCCGTTAACCCTTCACTGCTCTCTCACTGATGTCTCCTCCTCGTCTGCTGCTTGTTTGTCCATTCACTTTTCCATCAGTGCGTCATCCTCTGTGATGCCCTGAGCTCTGAGCTCTTCCAGGACGTTGTCGAGGTGTCCGGGGTCAGGGAAGCCGTGGCCTGTCAGATTGGAGCCAAACTCTGTCTTATGGTGGACCTTGAAGAGGACGAGAGAGTTGTCTTTAGCTTCAGTGATAATAAATCGGTTAACAAACCACAGTCGCTCTGACTTCCAGTCGTAATTTATCACCACCACCGAGGAGGTTCTGCCCTGTCTGACTGTTTGTTAGGGTTGGTTAGTTGGTTTGTTGATTGGTTGCTTTGTAAGCAGAAAAACTAAAACAAAATTCAGAAAATATTTCAAACTCGGTTGAAGGCTTGGACACGGGCCAAGAAAAATCACAATACATTTAGGCACAGAGCCAGGACTTTCATTTCTTTCTCTAATATTGGATGGGGGTTTTTTTGACATTTTGGATCGTGATAAAATATGTTTGGGCATATTTTTGGGACTATGCTTTGTGTTTTTAATTTGGTGTGGATCCAAATTAAAATCCAGATTTAGTAGATTTAAATTTGATTTCAGGGGCAGGAATTTCTCGTCACTTTGTTTAACATTGCGAGTTAGGGCCCTTGGTGGAGATATGCACTCTACTGGGTGACATTCTAGATGAACATGTACCTCATTCCAGATGACCGTGTCAGACTCTCCTGTAGTGCTTGAAGTACCGACTGAGAAGATCAACCTGCGGTCCCACGCTACCAGGAGCAGTCTCAGTACCTGACGAACAGATTTAGGATTTAGTTTTAGGTTCAGGATGAAAGGTTCATTTGAAAAACACCTATAAAAATGTGTCTCTATTAACAACAGTTGTACATAAGTGTCTATAACAGGACAGGGGATTGGGTTTACCTTGCGTCCTTTTTCGCTGTCTGGGAGGTAGCAGTGTCGGGGGAAGCCTCTGGCAGTGAAGGGTTTCCCTGGGTTCGGATGTTCTGGTCCCTGAAAGGACAGTGGATCATGCTGATCAGACTCTGACAACGTAATACCACATCTGAGAATAAACAAACACCCCTGCCAGTCCAGTTCTTTTCAGTACCTGAATTCCTGGCGGTATGTTGTAAATGATGCGTATGGTCTTGCAGTCAGGGTGTCCTGGTAGAGAGTGAGGGATGACGTGGTACTCCATCTTGCCTGCTGGTTGGTTGCCTGTCTTTACGCCGTAGATGGTTTTACATGTGGGGCACTGAAGACTGAAAGAGAAGGTGGAGATTGATTGAATATTTATATTTCATTAAATCATTAAATCCTCAGGGAATGAAGACGAGTGATGAGTCTCTGACCCACCTGCCGTCCTTGTTGCCGTTGTTATACATGGCCACTAGACACTGGAAATGGTACTGATGTCCACACTGTGCCAGTCGCCCAACTGACTCTGCCTTGGAAACGGGCCCCACCCCTGGACCTTTGTACCCAGATGGACCCCCCAAAGGCTCCATACAGATGGTACAGTCCTGTGGGAGATGAGAAAAGTGAAAGACACTCATTAAGAAAACATTATCATAAGTTACAGTATCATTATGAAACACAAAGACACAAAACACAGGTCATACCTCCTCTGGTGGACTTTTTACTTTTTGTAGGTACTTCTTTACCACCTCCTCTGGGGTTTTGCCTGCAGACAAAGAGGAGAAGGAACAGAGGGGAGTGATGAATAGATGAAAGGCTAGAAACAGCCCAGACTGTAAACCTGTGTGGCAACTGATGGACAGACATAACGGCTGATGATAAACAGACTGACAGTTCTTTCTCTCTTATCAGGATGATGATTTAAAAATAATAGCATTTCAAGCACTTGTTTTCACGCGTACCCTTGCGAGCTTGTTTCTTGGTGGTCTTCCTGCAGCAGTGGCCAAAGCCTGGCACTGGTTTGATGTCGCTCTTGCTGACAGGTGGAGGATGCAGCACCAGTTTAGGAGGCCTAGTCAGACACACAGGCAGAGCGGCAGCACTCATCAAGATTCCTGTGATCCCTGAAATACCCAAGAAAAAAGATTAGATAAAAACACATTTGTAAGAAGAGGGAAATTCCAGGATTTTGATTTCAAGTTAGAGACTTTTCCTCTCAGTGACAAAGTGTGTTTTTACCAGCAAGGGCAGGGTGAACAGGACTGGATCCGTTGAGGTTCTTCACTGGGACGGTGGGAACACTGCAATACAAGACACAAACTCTTGAGTAAAGTGGATTTTTTAAATTTCCAACAATGACTTCCGGATCAGATGTGACAGGTTGGGAAAACTCGACTGAACTGAAAACTCACTTTGAAAAACTGATGACCGTCATTCTTAGAGTCAGAGGTTACAGTCAGGAAAACAAAACTTCACGCAAAGACGAAAAAAGATAACAGGCAAACTATGTCAGCTGAATAAATTAGTGCCCTGTCCGACTTCCAAAAAAGATCCCAAAACACTGTTCTGTTTTCGTGTCCCTTTGTATGTTCCTTCCCTCAGCGTAACTACTCTGTTTGCCGGCTGGAGAGCATATGAATGAGTACACCGGGCTGTCGGTGTGTGTTTACGAGAGCTAATCCACGGAGTTTCCATCTGCTCACTGAGCTCAAAGAGATGGACGTCATACAGCTGCTTGCTGGGGATTACCTGCTGCATCACAAAGCCCATCATCATCATCATCATCATCATCATCATCTCTGACTGACAAACACACGTCTCCCACATACAGACTCAGACCATCAGTTTTCGTAGAGTTGTACAGGGATTTTACAGGGTCCAGTGTATTTGATGATGATAATCTGTTTAGAAATATGAGCTTTAATCTCAGAATTGATCAGGTTGTGTAAAGTGTATGATATGATAACGTGATTAATACAAAATAGGGCCACTTTCCCAGGATAGGAACTGTATGAGCATTCTCAGTTTTCCCCACTGACACTGTGAGGTCAGATGATGATAAATTACACACCACACACACTGTTGACTGAGAGTGTGTGTGGTGTGAAATGTGCGACTGAGCTTTGTGTTCCAGTTGCAGCGGAGGAAATAAACACATGTTAAAAAAGTTTATGTTGAAGCCACAACAGTCCAATCAGAGATGTGTTAACTAACAGCTTCCAATGCCTGAGTAGGATTATGAGGGTTCTAAACAAAAGGCAACCTCCTTCGAGCCGGATTTGAACCAGCGACCTAAGGATACCAGCATCAACCACTACAGTCCTCCGCTCTACCAACTGAGCTATCGAAGGGGACGCAGCTATGTTATGCGCAAACCCAGCTCGACACGGGCACAGGCCCAGCACAAGGACAGTGGTCATGTGCTGTTTCCTGTTGTTGGTTTAGCTTTAACAGGCTTTCTGTTAGTGCCCTAAGCCGCTTTCACTTAACCCCACTCAATGACACATGACAACGAGCGAGTGAATGATTCACTGGTGTGTGTGTGTGTGTGTGTGTGTGTGTGTGTGTGTGTGTGTGTGTGTGTGTGTGTGTGTGTGTGTNTGTGTGTGTGTGTGTGTATGTGTGTGTGTGCATGTAGGCATGTGTGTAAGTCTGCGCTGGGAAGGAGTACGAGGAAATAATTGTGTGTGAAATGAGGTGTTACTCCAGAGAGTAAAAGCAGAGTGAAAGAACAGTTAACATGCAGTGTGAGGGGTAATCAACAGAAATCAGTCACGATAGGAATGAGCAGATGATAATGATTAATTCTGAGTTTCCACAAAGTCAAGATAAAAAATACAAAAATGATGCAACAACACTGGTGGTTCTCCCTTTCTGTCTAAATCTATCATATAGTAATGCAGTAAAGCACAAAGGGTCAGATGAGTAAAGAGGTGGTGGGACTAGTTACATCGTACAGCATTAAAAACAAGCCTCCTCAACATGCACACAACACACCACAGGCCTCGGCTGTAAACACTGAGCTGCAGAGAACAATGTTAAAATAGCAAAGACACAATAAACTCATCCTACACAAGGTAGCATTGTTCTATGTCATAGGTGTCGATAACAGATTTTATTCATCAGCATGGCTTCAAGAACCAAGCCAATAGGTACAGCAATGAAGCTACTGAAAATAATCCCTGAAAGACTGACTGATATGTAATGGATATTCTTTTTTGAAGTAAATACATGTAAATGAATACATGTATTGAGATCAGATACATTTACGATACACACAGAAAAAGTTGTAGTACAGGCTGCACGAAAACTCTACAGATGCCTGATTTCTTTCCAAAAGATCTTTCATTCTGATTTCAGAAATTCACAAAAATTTGGAAAACGCTCTATCTCCCCCTGAATCAACAAATCTGCTCCAAAAGTTAAAGGGTTCTTTCTTGGCCCACACCTCATCCTTGCATCCAGCTTCAATAACACCAAGTATCATGACCGCATGGAATCAGAGAATATTGAATTTCCGTACTAAATTGTGATCAATGTGTCCAGACCCTCATGAAAAAATGTCTGTCGGTGATTGGGCTTGAAACGCTTTTTATGAAACATAACAAACATTTCGTTTTCTTCTTTAATCAGTGAGAACACATGGCGGCATGTGGCTACTATCACGTGTTAATCATAATACATTTCCATCTGTGTTAATCAGATTAACAAGCGCTGTGCTGTCGTATGCAGTTAAAGCAGTTTAAGTTGTTACACTTGTTATGACGATGTACTTATGACAGTCTCCTTTCAGTAGGCTAATGATGGATGGGAAACACCTCTATGAGATAAGCACAGGATCAAGTCAGTGAGTGACAATGACAGTGATCTCAAACATGCACAAACACTACTCACTTGTTGTCAATCACTAGATCTATAAATAACATGAATGACGGGCTGCTGCGTTAGCAAGGAAGTATTTACGGTGTGAGGTAAGGAAGAGAGACAGCGTTGAGCCAAGTCTGATCACAGATAAGCTTCATGTGGTTCATTAAAGGTCCAGTGTGTAAGATTTAGGTGAAAGGGAAAAACTGGCATTTAATGTAGAATAATCCTCATGATGTTTTCAATAGTTTCACATCTAAATTGTATGAATTGTAGTTTTCTTTACCCCAGAAAAGACCCTTTATATTTAAATACTTTATATTTACATCGAGGGGACCCTCTCTATGGAGGCTGCCATGTTTTTTACATTAGTCCAGACTGGACAAACTAAACACCTTTTGAGTTTTTATGACAACTGAAGCTACCACAGGTTCTTTTTCATGTTTGGAAGTGGAGGGTGAGGTGAGGGGTGTTCAGCTGCAACATGCAACTTCAGCACTAGATATCACAAAATTCTACACGCTAAACCTTTAACACACTGATGTGCTGATGACACACACACACACAAACACACAAACAAACACACTTTTGTTAACACAGCTGACCCACTAAGAATGTTAGCTGCCACACTGGTGATGTTTGATAAGTGTGTGTGTTTGTGTGTACATATGGTAATGGGATACATGCGATGTAGTTCCTGTATTACAGTTGCCACCAACCTGTGAGGGGCCAAGATCCCTGACCTCAGAAAAATTCTGGCCTTTTATTTAGGCTAAATGGTCCGTATTTGTATAGACCCCTGATTGTATTTAAAATATGCTTTTCGACTATAGATAGCATGACATTCCAACAGACTAATAAAGGCATGTGGCCTTTTTTATTTGTATAAAGGACATTATATTGTTCCTTGTAAACAACAATAGCAAAAACAGAGTGCCATTGTTAACTGTTGTCCACAAAGGCTTCATGTAAGTTTTGAGAAGTAGAACTGTAATGTGTGCTGACAAAAGCTCATATTATAATTTGATTTATTGTTATTAATTGGTTTTCATCAAAATGATGTTTTCCAATTAAGTCTAAACATTCATGCAAGAACATTCCCAAATCATAAAGTACTTTGTACAAATAACCCAGTACCACAGCCCAGCAATTAATCCTATTTATTATGTTCACTTTTGTCTGTGCCAGAAAGGTGTTGATTGGTGGTTTTCCTTATTTGCATTAATGGGAACGGCCGTATCTAGGACAGATGGTCTGACAACCCGAAAAATAATGCCTGCAGCCACAGCTGTTGTAGTGTGCAGGCATTGAAACAGATATATAATATTCCAATACCATGAGAAAATATTCCAATAGTTAAGTAGCCAGCTCAAATAAACATGCATATATTTCTCACTATTCATTCTCCATAAAACAACCAAAACAAAGAAGGAGGAAGTATTAGTGGGGCAACAGGAAACCAGGAAGCTCTAAGGGAAAGTGAAAAAACCTCGGGAACTTCAACAGAGAACGATCCCGTCGCTGCCTGGGGGGGAGGGCCTGAATGAGACTCCCCTCTCTTGACCCCCTGCGACCTCAAATCCACCCTCCTACCCACGGCTGGCTTCCCACCAGATCACACACTCCCACAGCTTTGTCTTACACACTCCCTCTAGACCTCACCCCTCTGCTCCGTCTATTCCCCCGGGCCCAGATGGACATCGGCTGGACTGATTTAGACACCAGACAATAACACACACACATTCTCACACATATTGTCACATGCAAATAAAGCTGCATCCACAGCCTCACACACAACCTTATGGACACACACACGCACTTTTTCTCACAGACCACCTCAATATGTTTCAAACAGACTTACTCTGCAAGAGGGGTTTGCTGTTGTTGACTAAATGTGTCCAATTTCATAAAAACATATTAAATTAATACTTGGGATAGTGATCTTAACATGAGAACTGAGTGAAAATGACTAAACAAACATATTTAAAAATGTACTGATGGAAAGAATCACTGTGATGAATGTAAATACATAACGCAGACAGGCAGGCAAACACACAGACGAATCAGAGGAATCAGGACTGACTAGCTGTCAGCCTCAGACGCCACATGACACAGACGACTGTTCTTCAGCCCTTTTTATACACAGATTACCACTGAAACCAAACAAGCCAGAGTTTTGCTGCCCAACTGTGTAATTATAGTAGAAATCAGAAAACGCATCACAACAACCCCCTTTTCCACGTTCATAAAGAACGGCATGGTGGAATAAACATGAAACATTCCCTCCAACAGGTATGTCTCTGTTTCACCATCTTATGTTGTTTTAAATAAGATTTTTTTAAAGTATAAAAATCAACACACAACTGTCAGCTCTAGCGCCAAATCCCAACATACATTATCTCAAGGCACTTTA